GTTAACACAGCACCTGGAGGACTGCAACTAAAGTTTGAACACCAGAATGCTGTGTTCCAAAATACGATCCAAAGACAAGCCAAAAAAATCGAAGATCTTCAGAAAAACGTGATAACTTCAACTTCCTGATACAAAGACCATATTGAACTCTGCCTCATTGTAATTGGATCATCATGGTACATCAAGAGTGCTGCTTTTATGCTAATCACTCCAGCATCATCAAGGACAAGATCAAGACCCTCCAAGAAGACCTTAAAGCTCTAGTTACCTGTGGTCTGGCCTTGGGGCATGGCTTCCTTATCTCCTCCCCATTGTGGACCCTTGGTCTCCATTGTCCTTGTAAATTTGCCTAAGATTGCATCGCTGTGGTCCAGTTAATGGTGGTCTTTAAGAACACTCTTTAAGCGACAGATTGGGAACTCTATACATCTGCCCATGGCCACTGCCAAGATGTAGAGGTATAATACATCATACCCTGAGTTGCTGAGGTGGTAGCCAATGACGGGTAAGATCCCCTGGGGAAGGCCCTAACAGCTGGAGTAGTAGTCAAAGACGGATAAGATCCCCAGAGGGGGACAACCTAAGACAGACATGCTCCCTAAAGGGCTGATCCCAGTCAGAGGGGACAACCTAAGACAGGCACACTCTCCGCTCAGTTCCTCTTTTTCTCTCTTTAATATAAAACAAAAAAGGGGGAATCTATGGGGAAATTAGGCACAGGAGGCAATTCAAAGATGGTGCCCAAAAGAAGTAAGGTGGGTGGTACCCAAAGTCATTTACCACCAAAGCTGATTGGCCAAGCAGCATCAGGGGAGGTGACAACTGATGACAAGTGTTCAGACATATGGCTGGTCCTGTAAAAAGTCGCCCCATAAAATGACCTTTTAAGTAATTGGTTGGTCCTTATGCCCTGCCCCAGTAATCCTGTGGTCTTGTGCTTTAAAAGGCTTTGCTATGCATGCAATAAATGAGTTTTTGCTTAAAAAAAAAAAGAAAAAGAAAACCTGCACAGAAGGGACGCTGGCCAGCAGAGGCAGGGGACGGCTGGTCCAGCCCTCCAGGTCCTGGCCAAGGCCGGCCGGCAGCAGGGGTGTGGAGGAGGGATGCCGCTCTCACCCGCAGCTCGGAGGCCCGCTAGCCGCCCAGGCCCCTCCTCGAAGCGGCTATCGTCCGGCCTGTTCACGCCTTAGGGCGCCCAGTGAGGGCAAGGTACAGGGATGGCCCTGGGTCAGCCCCGCCACCTCCTGGCCGGTAACGGTCAGCGCCTCCTGGCCGGTAACGGTCGCCCAAGCCAGGCTCGCGCCCGCCGCCTCACGCTCTGGTCCCGCGCCCTGGCGGCGCAGAGAGGCGGGGGTGGGCGGAGTTCCCGAAACCCGCGCGCACGCGCGGTGAACGCCGCCTCGCGCTCTGGCGGCGCAGAGGGGCAGGGGTGGGCGGAATCCCCAAGACCCGCGTGTGCGTGCGCGCGCTGTGAACGCCCCGAGCGCTCTGGTCCCAAGCCCTGGCGGCCCCAGAGGGGCAGGGGTGGGTGGAGTCCCCAAGGCCTGCGCTCACGGTGAACGCTGCGGGCCGGGGCTGGGCAAGGCCGATCAGATACCTTGGCAAGGTATAGGACTCCCCAGTGGGACCAGCCACCATCTGTGTGTCCAGCCGGGTGTGGCCCAAGCGCGAGGGAAGCCAGTGATGGGGGAGACGGGCGACTCTGGGACCTGGGGTGGAGGGACTTACATTTAAGGTTTTTGCAACCTGTAGCCATAAACTATCATTCTAAAACCCTCGGTTTTAGAAAAGGGATTATATAGATGCAACAAAAGCGGTCTAGAAGCATAAGGATTCTAAGATGAAATAAATATACAGGCAAGGTGCTCCCAAAAGTTCGTGGAGAACGGCATTCCACAATGCACAGGCTCCTTGAACTTCTTCAGATTCTTTTCTTTCTAAATGTTTCACAAACACGTAGTAAGTGCCTGTCCCACATTTCACTCCACCCAACAGTTTCTCCAGCCCTTATGGTGTGCCAGGCACCAAGGTGGGCAACACAACCCTAGAGTCCCTTTCTTCCCACCTCTGGGTGGCTGCAGCCGCTGCCCAGCTTTCTCCGCCTATTTCTGGTAAGAGTGCAGAGTGCTGCAGGGGACGGCAGCTGCTGGAACCTAGAATCAGAAGCACCGCACCGTGTGGGCAGTGGGGTTGGTGAGGACGTAATGGACTCATCGCCTCTATACCCAACTAATGTTAATGAACTCTGCTAGTGGAGAATCTAAATGCAAAACAGAGACTACCCTTCCTCACTAACCAGGCCTTTCTTCGTGTAATAAAGTGCAAGTAACATTTCACAGTTCTTTTTTTTTTTTTTTTTTTTTTTTTTTTTTTTAATTTTTGACAGGCAGAGTGGACAGTGAGAGAGAGAGAGAGAGAGAGAAAGGTCTTCCTTTTGCCGTTGGTTCACCCTCCAATGGCCGCCGCGGCCGGCGCATCGCGCTGATCTGAAGGCAGGAGCCAGGTGCTTCTCCTGGTCTCCCATGTGGGTGCAGGGCCCAAGCACTTGGGCCATCCTCCACTGCACTCCCAGGCCATAGCAGAGAGCTGGCCTGGAAGAGGGGCAACCGGGACAGAATCTGGCGCCCCGACCGGGACTAGAACCCGGTGTGCCGGCGCCGCAAGGCAGAGGATTAGCCTAGTGAGCCGCGGCGCCGGCCTCCATTTCTCAGCTCTTATATTCATTCCTATCAGATTTTATTTGCTAGAAATGAAAGCACCTTTAAACAGTGAAGCACTGCTGGTCAGTGACACTGATCTATTTAAGTCCAGCAAGAATACTTTCCACGATACCAGACTGCTCAAAACACATTGGCTAAAACCTGAGGAATAAAATATTGTATCTTTTAAAAAATTTTTAATTTATTTGACAGGTAGAGTTATAGACAGTGTGAGAGAGACAGAGAGAAAGGTCTTCCTTCCATTGGTTCACCTCCCAAATGACTGCTACAGCTGGAACTGCGCCGACCCAAAGCCAGGAGCCAGGTGCTTCTTCCTGGTCTCCCACGCGGGTGCAGGTCCCAAGCTCTTGGGTCATCCTCCACTGCCCTCCTGGGCCACAGCAGAGAGCTGGACTGGAAGAGGAGCAGCTGGGACTAGAACCAGCGTCCATATGGGATGCCAGCGCCACAGGCAGAGGATTAACCAAGTGAGCCACGGCACCAGCCCCTGTATCATTTTTAAAAATCCACTGTTATACAATAAATTAAAGCATATTTTATAAATTATATTATGGTTTATATATTTCAATTGCATTGACTTTTCATCTTATTTCATAAAATGTGTAATATTTTCTGTTATTAATAAATTTTTTTCTAGGTGCTAAACCAAATAGATTATTTCACTTGCTTTTCTCTGTCATTAGAAGCATATGGAGGGGCAGTAACTGCCCACAGCAGGTTAAGCCACTGCTTGGGATACTCACACCCGCCCATCAGGTACTCTGCCACCCAGCCAACTTCCTGCTATTGCAGCCTGGTGGCAGCAGGTGATGGCTCAAATGCTTGGATCCCTGCTGCCTATGTGGGGCTTCCAGATGGAGTTCCCGGCCCCTGGCTTCAGCCTGACCCAGCTGGCGGCTAAGGGCATCTGGGGAGTGACCCAGCACATGGAGGATCCCTCTCTCCCTCCCCTCTGCCACTATCATTCTCTTCAAGGAGATGAAAATAAACATTGTTTAAAAAGCATATGCCTATTTTGACCATGATGAATATGACATTTAATGGAGTTATTTCTGAGGTACTCACTGTGATTCTTATTTTAAAGCGAAGGCCAATGACCTTGTTCAACGCATACTTCCAGACACACTTACCAAAGAATGCCAAGCCTTTAGTCGTGCTTCTTTCTTCATATATAATTTATATTTCAGCTACATGCTTTCTTGCCTTATTTAAGTATGAGAAATGGTTTATAGGCTTATCCACATTTGTGTAACTTATAAAAACTAATAAATTATGTCCATATTATTTAATCTCAACTTGGTTTTAGTAATTTTCCAAAAACACATTTATAACTTCTTTCCCAGTATTTCTCTAATTTTTTTTGCATTGTTCTTAATGAACTTATTTGAAGAATGAAGTCAGATTTTATTAATCAAGTCAGTCTAATTTGACTGCTCATCAGACAGCAAATATTTCCAAAACCTCAAATGAACTAAATTCACAGAGTCATGGTTTTCACAAATTTGGCACTTGGGAAATGGTAGCTGCTGTTGTTTATACTTTGAAGAAGTGGTAGGAGGATGCCCAACTTCGGGTTCGTGGTTTAATCAAATGGCATGCAAATAATCCCTAATACCCTTCTCTCAACTTCCCAGTAAAACATTTGGAATGATACATAAAATGGCGAACACCAGCTGCCACTCTGGAAACCCCAGAGTCTACCGGAATCTTCTACCAATAGTAGGATGGGGCCGGCGCCGCGGCTCACTAGGCTAATCCTCTGCTTTGCGGCGCTGGCACACCGGGTTCTAGTCCTGGTCGGGGCAACGGATTCTATCCCGGTTGCCCCTCTTCCAGGCCAGCTCTCTGCTGTGGCCCGGGAGTACAGTGGAGGATGGCCCAAGTGCTTGGGCCCTGCACCCCATGGGAGACCAGGAGAAGCACCTGGCTCCTGCCATCGGATCAGCGTGATGCGCCAGCCGCGGCGGCCATTGGAGGGTGAACCAAGGGCAAAGGAAGACCTTTCTCTCTGTCTCTCTCTCTCACTGTCCACTCTGCCTGTCAAAAAAAAAAAAATAATAGTAGGATGGATGACAACAGGTACAGAAACACATTTCTGAGTTCTGTGTCCCTCGCAGTTTCCAACAGAGGAAACGTGATGCCGCACAGAAGACAGGGAAAGCCTGCTCTCTACCCCGGCCTCCGCCAGAGAGCCACATCCATCGTGGCTGCGCCTTTGGTGCCTCGCAGCAGCTTCCGGCTTCAGGCCAACCGCAGACCTCGTTCCTTGCCTCTACTTACCCACTCAGAGACTGCAACTCCTGTGGGCACAGAACCAGCGGTGTCCAGCACGGCAGAGGAGAATGGCCATGCCTCACATCTGGGAAGCAGCAGGGCGGGCCAAGTGAGGCCACGGGATCTTTGGTTTCATCTGCACAAAGCACAGACAGCACCGTCTCATAATCAGGACAGTTAACTCTCTGGGTGGTGAAGAGCCCATTAGATACAGGCTAATAAAGGCAACAGAGGGCTGCTTACGTCAACCCTAGTGCTGATTCTACACACGACAGAGAGAATCTCCTGGCTCCCAAGTTAATCCCAAGGAGACCTAAAGCCCCGTTGGGGCCGGCGCCATGGCTCAACAGGCTAATCCTCCGCCTTGCGACGCCGGCACACGGGGTTCTAGTCCCGGTTGGGGCACCGGATTCTGTCCAGGTTGCCCCTCTTCCAGGCCAGCTCTCTGCTGTGGCCCGGGAGTGCAGTGGAGGATGGCCCAAGTGCTTGGGCCCTGCACCCCATGGGAGACCAGGAAAAGCACCTGGCTCCTGGCTTTGGCTCAGCGCGATGCGCTGGCCTCAGCGTGCCGGCCGCGGCGGCCATTGGAGGGTGAACCAACGGCAAAAGGAAGACCTTTCTCTCTGTCTCTCTCTCTCACTGTCCACTCTGCCTGTCAAAAAAGCAAAAAACAAACAAACAAAAAAACCCGTTGGATAGCTGTCTTTTCATTCAAAGATTGTTAGACAAGAAAGAGAAGGGAGAAAAACAACAGTAACAGCAACGTGCCATCTTTAGCGATGGAACATTTACTGTGTGCCAGGCTCACAGGCACACTTACATTTTAAGTTCTTTGTCAGTTAATACAAGGGCTGTCAGCGCTGAAGGCACATTTCACTCCATGCAGCTCTGTGATTACAATGGGATGCCTTTTAGCCCCGGACTCAGTGTTGTGCTTTGTGCAGTAGAGGGCGCTAGAGGAACACTGCTGGAGGACAGGCTCTCCCACCTCTCTGGCAGGCCTTGGAAGTCAGACTGATCAGAAGGACTTAAGAGCCTGCCCCAGTCTTTGGCTCCCAACAGGGTCCCCTCTGACCATGAAACCTTGACCTGCAGCCTTCTTGACGTTGAACCGTAGACCTGCACAGCCTGTACACCCTGAAGGTCTCCTATGCCTGCAGACGCCCACACTCCCACTGCACACCTGCCCCCTGGCTGCTGATTGCTGGCCTGCAATCCAGGCCGTGGCTACTGCTTGCCCAGCAGCTTGTGCCCAGCTAAACCAGTGAAACACTCTGCTGCTCAGTGGACTGAGCCCCATCTTCACCATCCAGGTCTTAGCCCCTTCCAAGCTGCCCTACCTGCCTCCCTCAGCCCCAGGGTACGCGATGGAGCTTCCCGGCATCTTACAGTCACTCTCTTTCATCACCGGTGATAAACATTCACACCCCAGTTTAAACTCCCCAGTGTAGCCACCATGTACTTTCTCCTGCTTAGACCCAAGCTGCTGTAAGTACTTCACGTGTATTATTAACCCACTTAGCTCCCTCCCCAGCCCTGCAAGGTGAGCAGTTCCATTGACTTCATTTTTCAGATGAAGAATATGTGTGAGGTTTAGGTAACTCACACAATCTAGGCCCCATTTTCATTTTTTTAAAAATCTAATATCCTGAAGAAAATCATATTCCTCATATTCCAAACAAATAATTTTGTAGGACATGCAGAAAACATTATAAATAATTTGATTCTTCCAAAGAATTAGGATAATATAGGCTTTCTGTAATAGGAACAAAGCGTCATCAGAGAGAATAGACTAAGACGCAGGCAGAATTTTAAAAGAAGCTAGCAAAACAGAAGTGACGAGGAACCAAGCATGTCGTAGAAGTATTTGAATCTGCAGTAGGAGCAAAAACAAAAAATTATTACTGCAGAAAACTGAGTAGGTGACTTGGCAGTCGAACCACAGCAGCTCTCCAAGGATGCCGGGGGAAAGAGGTGAAGATAATGAAAGCGTGGTGCAAGGACAGAGCCCAGACGTGGAAGGAAATCTAGAAAACACAGCTCCTCCTAGAGAAGGGACTATAGGAAGGGGTCGAGAGGACTCAGCAGAGAGTCCATTGATGGGAAGTCACGATCACACGGCGCTCCTGGGGGATGTGTAGAGTTCAGCATATGGTCTCCACCAGACTCCCATGCAGCTTTCCCTGTGCTGTGGCGCTGCCCCTATTCTGTCCTGAATTTGGCTTGCAGTGCCAGTCTTGCACCAAGAGGACTGCGTTTCAGATCCGGTCCTTCCACTTGCTATCTCTGACTTTAGTAAGTCGACTGCTGGCTGCAGTTTTATATCCACCATGTACTTCCTATTTATGTAAAATGGCTTATCTACCTCCAAAGGTTGTTGAGTGACACAAACATATGTGTCCACACGAATCTCAATATTTAAGGACAAAAAGTCTACCTCTTTTCTTTGTGTCTCTTGTAGTACCTAGCAATTGTAGGCACTGTGTAAGTATTTATCAAGCATGTTGAGTTTAAAACAAAACCCAGCATGCTAACCTAGATCTATCCAATTATCACAAAAGGAACAATGGATTCCATATAGACTGGTAAGTACAGATGAATAGAGTTGATTGTGTATGTGAGCAAACACAATATTCATTTATTACTGCTACTTGTTTTCAGTGTTTAAAAGTGACAATGAATATTGAGTCATTTTTGTGTTGACAGTACATTTAAAAAATTTTCCTGATTCTGTGTTGCAACTGAAACATTTTACTTCAACATACTATAATTTACTACTAAACTGTGATGCAGGATGGTGACTTTTCACAAGGAAGAAACCGATTCATAATGACGGAAGAAAATGACAGCACTTAGCAGAACCATACAGAGCAGCGCTTTCTTAGCATACGTGACGACTACCGTAGTCAACAGGAATATGCAATCATTTGGATCCACAAGAATGTCAAGCTTAATCAAGAACCTATCCATCTGGGGAGAAGCCTGATGATCTCTCTCTGCTTGCTATGAAAATAACAGGTTTGAGCCATATTAAAAAAAATCAATGTTACCCAAATAAAGAGTTTTCTCAGACTCTTGTCTGGGAACATGCTGCCGATGTTCGTAATAGAAGCCAAACCCAGAGCATTCACAGAAGTCCAGAATGTTCCCCACAGTTGCATTAGTCCCCAACTATGCAGAGATATCCTCTCTTTGAATTCACTGGACTGATTCTACCCTGTTATCGAAACTTGGAGACACACATGTGCCGTTCCTTTGGGGACCGCATTGGATTTTCCATTGACATCAAGGGTAGTTCCCAGATTAACCCGGAGACCTGGAGATTCAGTCTGGAGAAAGCCTTTTGTGCACGAAACCCTGGGCGCCATCCCGAGGCTTGCCTCTCACAGTTTACAAGAGGGCCGAGCTTTGCAGATCCAGTCTTGTGACATCTGCGTTGTTTTATCATTGGCTCAGTGTTTAAGAATCTTCCATACTCAGATCCATCTCTCTTAGTCTCTGTTTCCCTACAATCTATTTACACAGCTTCTCCCAGGCTTGCCTGGGATCAGCTTCGCAGCCTCCCTCCCCTCAGTGATGATCTCAGGAACAGCTCTGGGCCACAATGTAATCTCGACCAACCAATTCCAAAGCAACTCCAACAGTTACAAGAGGAGGTCACTAGGTCCATCGATACCTCAGCTGATGCCATCTGAGGTCTCCAAAGCCGTATCACAGCACTAACAGGTGTGGTGCTATGGAACAGACAGGCCCTAACAGTGTTGTTATGATGTTCACCAATCAGGCCAGGTAAAACCACACCCAAAGGAAATTAAATTGGCAAATAAAAGAGCTGTCTGTACCTCAATGTTTATTGCAGCTCAATTCACAATAGCTAAGACCTGGAATCAACCCAAATGCCCATCAACAGAAGACTGGATAAAGAAATTATGGGACATGTACTCTGTAGAATACTATATAGCAGTAAAAAACAATGAAATCTGGTCATTTGAAACGAAATGGAGGAATCTGGAAAACATCATGCTGAGTGAAATAAGCCAGTCCCAAAGGGACAAATATCATATGTTCTCCCTGATCAGTGGCAACTAACCGAGCACCAAAAAGGAAACCTGTTGAAGTGAGATGGACACTGTGGGAAACAGTGACTTGATCGGCCCTTGTCCTGACTGTTGATGAACAACTTAATACTTATCCATTTTAGTATTTTATTTTTGTTCTACTTAGTACTATTGGTTGAACTCTTTAATTAACACACAAATATTCTTAGGTGTTTAAATTTAACTGAAAAGTGATCCCTGTTAAATATAAGAGTGGGAATAAGAGAGGGAAGAGATGTACAATTTGGGACAGGCTCAAGCTGACTTGCCCCAAATGGTAGAGTTAGAAACATGCCAGGGGATTCCAATTCAATCCCATCAAGGTGGCATGTACCAATGCCAGCTCACTAGTCAAAGTGATCAGTTTCAGTTCACAATTGATCATACTGATAGGTCTAAGAGTCAAAGGGAGCACATAAACAAGACTAGTGTCTGCTAATACTAACTGAAAGAATTAAAAAGGAGAGAACGAGCCAACAAGGGAAATGGGATACACAGCAGACTCATAGAATGGCAGATGTCCTAAACAGCACTCTGGCCTCAGAATCATCCCTTAAGGCATTTGGATCTGGCTGAAGAGCCCATGAGAGTATTTTAAGCACGGAAAACCAAGACTCTCTGGCAAAAACAACAACAACAACAACAAATAACAAACAAACAAAACAAAACAAACCAAAAAAAAAAAAAAAACCAAAACAAAAACCACCAACCTAAATGAAAGATCTCTACGAGTGAGATCCCAGTGGAAAGAATGGGCCATCAGAGAAAGAGGTACCTTTCTCTGAAGGGAGGAGAGAACTTCCACTTTGACTATGACCTTGTCCAAATAAGATCAGAGTTGGCAAACTCAAAAGGCTTCCATAGCCTTGGCAACCCATGACAAGAGCCTAGGGTGATTACTGATGCCATAAACAAGAGTGTCAATTGTTAACAGGAGTCACTGTGCACTTACTTCCCATGTAGGATCTCTGTCCTTAATGTGTTGTACAATGTGAATTAATGCTATAACTAGTACTCAAACAGAACTTTACACTTTGTGTTTCTGTGTGGGTGCAAACTATTGAAATCTTTACTTAGTATATACTAAATTGATCTTCTGTATATAAAGACAATTGAAAATGAATCTTGATGTGAATGGAATGAGAGAGTAAGCAGGAGATGGGAGGGTTGCGGGTGGGAGGGATGTTATGGGGGGAAAAGTCACTGTAATCCAAAAGCTGTACTTTGGAAATTTATATTTATTAAATAAAAGTTTTTTTTTTTAAAAAACCACATCCATCAGTCTTCACTAGGGTCTAGAGGACTCCCCACCTCGTTTCCTCTCCTCTATGAAATCCTCTCATCACTTGGTTAATGCCACTACTAGGACCATTGGCTGCTATTCTCGCCCTGGCTTTCATACTATCTTGTCTGTTTAAGTGTTTGCAGGAGGTGATAATGGAATGAGCCAAAGCCTTCATCAACCAGTGGGTCAACCAAATGCTGCAACAGGGATATACTCAGCTCCCACCCAGGAGATCACACACCCCAAGACAGTACCTTAGTAGATAGTGTATTCAAATTCAGAGGAAGAGAAAGCATAGAGCCCTTCTCACAGACTTGTTATGCCAACCTTGCCTTTCAGAACCACTGATGTAGGTGGGTTCTATCTCTGATCTATAACCAGTTTACCATCCCACTAGAAAAAGGTAGGCAACAGACAGGCGTTTGGCACAGCAGTTAACATGCACTCAGAGTGCCTGGATTTGAGCCCCAACTCTGCTTCCAGTTCCCACTTCCTGTCTGTGTGCACCCCGGGAGAAAGCAGGTAGTGGCTCAAGTATTTGGGCCCTTGCCACTCACATGGGAGACCAAGATTGGTTTCCTGACTCTTGCCTTTAGCCATGCCCAGCCACACCTCCTGGGCTCCTGGCTTAGGTCTGGCCCAGCCCAGGTTGTTGTAGGCATCTAGGAATGAATTCCAGATGAATGCTACTTTTTCCCCCCTCTCTCTCCTTCCCTTTCTCAGTCTCTCTATACCTTTCAAGTAAAACAAAAATAAAAATTTTTTAAAAAGTAGGCAGGGTTCTAGGTGACTGGAGTTTATGAAAGAGCCTATAGAAGTCTATTGATTTATTTATTTAGAGGAAAGGTTTATTGTTGGGTGGGAGAAGCCCAACAGGCCAGGGGAGAGGGCAAGAGATTGAGAGCAGGTGTACAAGAAGCAGATCCTGTCATACCTTGGCTGAGGGGCAGGAAAATAGGAGCAGTGAATCCCATTAGGGTAGGGGTAGAGCTGATGCGTGTGGTTGGGCCATCTGGTCACCTGGCTCCCAGCAAAGGTGGTGGGGGCTAGAGCCTAGGATGGTGTCTAGGATGTATATCATGCTACAGACAAGACCTTGTAACACCCCCCCCCTTTTTTTTTAATATAAAGCAAGTGTTGTATGGATTACATCAATCCCAAAAGTCCAGGAGGGGTGGGGGGATGATGATCTGTCTTTAGAGCTACTTCCTGCTGACATGGGGCGATGTCTCAAGCCCTGGTCTCCTGGGTGGGAGCCCAGTGTTGACCACCTGGTTGAGGTCTTTGGTTCATTCCGTTATTAACTCCTGTAAACACTTAGACAAGATCATAAATAAGGCAGGGGGAGTAGACTTTGGACAAGAGCTGGTTCTGAGATAATGTTGGGATTTTTGGGCAGGAGGGGGAGGTACAGCGAGACAGTGAGAGCTGGAGCAGCAAATGTAGAAGAAAGGGGATTGGCTTTTTAGTGAGAGCTTTGGAAGTTAAGAGAACTTGAGCCAGAGAAGGTGTAGAGCTGAGCTAGGAGAAAGCTTACACACAGGAGATTTTCTTCCACTTTCCTGATCTTGAATAGTGTCAGGGTCAAACGTGGACTGGTTGTCGAGGTAGGAGACGACGAAGAGGGGGGGTTGGGTGGAACACAGGAGGGAGGAGTTCCCATGGCAACCCATTGAGTCAGACTGGTGGATATCAGGCATCCCCAAGATCACAGCCGTCCAACAGGGAGGGTACGGGAACAGAGAGTGGGGGTTGTCACCCACGCATCCACTGGCGCCCGAGGCCTAGAGCCTGTGGAAAGGTTTGGAGCCATGAAAGGCAGAAGGCCTGTGGGAGGTTGTGGTGCTTGGTACCAGGACTTTGAGACACAGCAGAGCTGAACCACAACCTTGGTAGAGGTTGCCATGAGAGAATTCCTTGTTCCCCGTCTTACCTCAGGAATTTGAGAGGTCAGTGTGTGGATGGAGACCACAGAGCGTTCGGTGGTGTGGAAGGAGGTCCAGGGGTATGTTTTGTGACTGGTGGAAATCCAGGACCCCAGAGCAGCTCAGATCCCCGAGGGGAGAGCCTGGATCCGAGTCACGGCACCCACGCAAGGCCATCACGAAACACACAAAACACACCAAACACCGGAGTTAGAGGAAAGGTTTACTGTCAGGTGGGAGAGAGCGAGAGCAAGAGAGAGCGAGCGAGCGAGAGTGAGCGAGAAGTGGTCCATTCCTAATCAGAGATAACTTCCTCTCCGCCTGAGTCATCTATGCTGCTTAATTTTCTGTTCTTTAAACAAGTGTTGTCAATTTGCATTACCAAATTGCTTAAAATATAGCTAACTCTCCTGCTTTCAGCAACTTCTCCAGTCCCCGACTGTAATGTACTTTCCCTTTCTCACTTTCCCCACCGCTGTAACAGGCGTGGGTTCTCAAAGAGCATCCCTGATTTCACTCTGAGTACTGCACTCGTTTCTCAGATTCCCATCCTCCCTGGAAGCTAAGTGGTTGTGAATAAGAGTGTGAGTGTCTGAGCGGCAACAAATGTGACTGAATATAACCACTTGTTGTGAGTCTGTCTAGAGAATGAACCTGGCAGCAGTTTTTAGAAGCCTATAAACTTGGAGATGCAGTCAGAAGTCTTGGACTGGGGCTGGCTGGCATTGTGGCACAGTAGGTTAAGCCACTGCATGGGACACCAGGTGGCAGTATCAGAGTGCAGGCTCGAGTCCTGGCTACTCTGTTTCTAATCCAGCTTCCTGCTAATGCACCTGGGAAAGTAGTGGCTGATGACTACAGTACCTGAGTTCCAGCAGTTGCCTTTTTCTGACCATGAACTTGGACGTGCCCACCCTTAGTGTTGCTGTCCTTTTGAATCTTCCCAGTGATTATTGTTTCTTCTCGACTGGCCCATTCTTGCTGCTTGCTCTTACCCTCCTAACCACAGCTGTCTGCATCAAGGGTCAGTGCTTGACCCAAACTGACCAACCATATTCTCCACCTACCCTCTGCAGAATCTGGAACTGGGATAGAGAGATAGCCCATCTCTAGGGGGTCGGGGCTTTCCCGCAATGTGACCGGAAATGACAGGGAACTGTCTGCAGATGAAGGAGCATAAGACAAGAGAGAAGCAGGGACAGGGATGGAGACTTCTGATGTCTCTCCACTCCTTGCTTTCCAGTTCCCTTCCCGAGTCCCTAGTGTTGCCTTATAGTTTGTGGGTTTCACTTATTGAGAAGTACCTCACAGTTGCCCTTCATTCTAGTCTCGATCTTGGGCCGACCTTCCCCTGACCTGGCATTCCCATCTGGGTGTGACAGCCACTATAAAATGGGCCTCGGAGAGCAGTAACATTTTAGACACAGATCAATTTTTATCACATAAAGTAATTGCTCTGGAGGGGCAAGAGTGTCTAAAGAGAAACCGCTTTCAGGTGTGGATACTTAATGGGATTAAGAACCGTGCAGCAGGGCGAGATAGGAGGAGGAAGGTTATTGAGAAGCAGAAATGAAGGGGACAGGGGAGCACACACACTCAGCACATGCACGTAAAAACCGTTTGTAAAGGAGGGAGCGCCCTCTTCACCTCAAGTGATCAGAAAGTAAGCCAACTATTTGATCTGGGATTCAGAGTCGTCCGTTCCACCTCCTGTGGCTGAATTTCCCAGCCTCCTTCCCCTTCGCATGCCCCAGGGTGGCATGAAATGTCATTCTTGAAAAGCAGATCGCTGGGCTTCCAGTGCAGAATCCGAGAGTGACTGAGCAGTTCTGTGACTCCAGGCAGATCCATTGCCTCATCGCGCTCCTCTCAGTCAGCTCCCTGTATTACGCGTGTGTATAGCCTGTATTAGGAAGGCACATGCAAAGTGTTCTGAAGTGCAAGAGACTTGTCCGTTTCAACCTTCTAGCCTCTGGGTGACACTGGGAGGATGTTTTATACTTAACATAATCATGTGAGCCAAGTTTTTGACAAATGCATGATTTTTCTGGCCAATATAAGAGGAGCCCACCCTTCTTTTAAGCTGAGAAGTGACATGTATCACTAGGTGCCTTGGTTCACATAGGCTGCAGTAACAGAATCCCTTAGGCTGAGTAATTTATGAACAATGGCAATTTATTACTCACGGTTCTGGAGGTTTGGAGTCCAAGATCAAGGCACCAGCAGAGTCAGCATGTGATGAGGGCTTACTCTCTGCTTCAGATTGCTTCCGATGGCTCCTCTGGTTGCATCCTCATGGGTGGAAGGGCTAGACAAACCCCTGGGACCCTTTTTATTAAGGGCACTAAACCCATTCATAAGGGCTCCGCCCTCACACTCACATCCTGTTATGTGAGGCCCCATCTTCACAATACTATTGCGTTGGCAGTCAGCTTTAAATATTTTCAGTATTAATTTTAGGGGAATACAAACATTTGGACAATAGCACCAGCACTCCTACCTGATGAATCAGTGTCCTTCCCACACCGTTTTTTCTTGGGTGGAGCTGCATACTTTCAGGAGCTGAAGGCACTGTCTGTGGAAGAAACAGAGATCATGAAGTTTAGAAATGTGGCATGGCAGGCCAAATAATATACATGTCCAAATTCCTATCCATAGATGAATGTCATATTACATGGTAAGGGGGAATTAAGGTAGAAAGTGGAGGCCGGCGCCACAGCTCAATAGGCTAATCCTCCGCCTGCGGCACCAGCACCCCAGGTTTTAGTCCCGGTTGCCCCTCTTCCAGTCCAGCTCTCTGCTGTGGCCCAGGAGTGCAGTGGAGGATGGCCCAAGTCCTTGGGCCCTGCACCCGCATGGGAGACCAGGAGAAGCACCTGGCTCCTGGCTTCGGATCAGCGCGGTGCGCCGGCCGCAGCGGCCATTGAGGGGATGAACCAATGGAAAAGGAAGACCTTTCTCTCTGTCTCTCTCTCACTGTCCACTCTGCCTGTCAAAAAAAAAAAAAAAAAGTAAAAAAAAAGGTAGAAAGTGGAATTATATTTGCTAATAAGCTGACCTAAATTTTGGTTATCCTGAACTGAGAAGGACCTGTATAATTACTGGAGTCCTTAAATGTGGAACAGGAAGGTAGAGAAGTAGGTGGCCAGGTAGAAAACTTGACTGCACACTGCTGGTCTCGAAGACAGAAGGGGCAATGAACCAGAGGACAAGGACAGCCTGTGACAACAGGAGATGCTACAGGAATGCAGCCCCGTGAGCCCCTCAATTGTGGTCCAGGAAGATTCATCTTGGAATTCTCATCCCCAGAACTGTAAGATAAGGTAGAAGGTGGGGTTCCAGAGAGCAGAACACGGGGCTTTCCAACAAGAGCTCAATTTCTGGCATGAGCTTCCAGGTGGAAGCCGAGACCAGAGAAGGAAGAGCTGTCCTATGGGAGTAGGAATTACAGAGAAGATTCAGGAACTACTGGACACGACCCCCAAAGCAGGGAGAGATGGAGGAAGAAAAGCTCTGACATCTCTCTCCTCCTTCCCTTCAACCTTTGACAACGCCAAACCTCTCCAGAAAGTTGCAAGACTAAGGGACCTAGGAAAATTATTCCCTGGCACAGGGGACAGAGGGAATCTGAGACAGATACTTCGATGCCCAGCACACCTGCCAATGTCTCCTACCTAGGACTAAGTGACACCTTTCCTGGCTGTGGTAAAGGGAGACGTCCCTTTCCTGCTGAGCATATATCAACATCAGTCTACTCACAGGCTCACTTCTCCATATCAAGGCCTTTGAGCCCAAACACAGATAAAATCCAGTTGGGACTATCACAAAATGCAGGTTTTAAATATTGTCACAGATGGCCGGCGCCGCGGCTCACTAGGCTAATCCTTCGCCTAGCGGCGCCGGCACACCAGGTTCTAGTCCCGGTTGGGGCGCCGGATTCTGTCCCGGTTGCCCCTCTTCCAGGCCAGCTCTCTGCTGTGGCCAGGGAGTGCAGTGGAGGATGGCCCAGGTGCTTGGGCCCTGCACCCCATGGGAGACCAGGAAAAGCACCTGGCTCCTGGCTCCTGCCATCGGATCAGCGCGGTGCGCTGGCCGCGGTGCGCCGGCCACAGTGCGCCGGCTAAGGCGGCCATTGGAGGGTGAACCAACGGCAAAGGAAGACCTTTCTCTCTCTCTCTCTCACTGTCCACTCTGCCTGTCAAAAAAAAATATTGTCACAGATGTTGGGGGCCCTGCCCCCACATTCCCCCAGTGGTCGTTGGCAGTTTCTGGGCACATGGACAGCTTCCAGGCTCAAGGACCCACACTTCTCTGCTCCAGCTTTCTGCTAGGAACTTTCCCAAGGATTGGCATCCCACGTCCTCAGGCCAGTCCTCCGTGAGCCTGGGATGGCTGCTGGCGGGTGGACACTTTCCGATCCTCTGCCAGGGAGCTCCTGAGGGCAGCCGCTGCACTCCTTAGGGGGAGCAGCTGAGGTTGTATGTGATGCATCTGTTTTCGGCTCTTCTCCCTCCCTCACTCACTTTCCCCCTCCCTCAGTTGCATCGAAGTTCTTGAAGTCCTAGGGTTTTAGGGGGAACTCAAGTTACAGATAAAGATATAAAATCAAACAAAATCTTGCAAAATATTTGCCATCCCCTTTACTAAGGAAAGATGTCGTTCTTTCCCGTTGTGCTCAGCTGCCTCTGCTACTTCCTGGCGCTGTCGTTAGTGGAAGGGGTAGTAAGAAAGGGGGATATGGGAAGACAGTTATACCTCAAAATGTCTTAGAGCAACAGGACACTTGCTGGGTGCAAGTGAGTCAAACTGTTACCGGAGAAATTGCAGGGTTCTTGTCTTCGCGCAAGAAAGAATTCAGGTGTGAGACAGAGAGTAGAGGGAGGTAAAATAGCAAGGTTTATTAGGGAAGGGACATCCGTAAGGATGGATGGGCATCTCTCCAGACAGAGCCTGAGAAACTGGGGGTGGTGGTGGAGGTTACATGGTTGAGTGGAGAGAGTACACCTGGCCAGACCAGGCGGGCGGCTCAGCAGAGAGGCAGAGGGCTGAGCGCACAGTCCGGTTGAGGCTGTGTGTGTGTGTGTGTGTGTGTGTGTGTGTGTGTTAAGGAGATGGGTCTTGCTTCCCCACCTCTGCTCCTCTTGGAATAAAGGGCTTTTTGGATGTAAATAGAAAAACTTCTATCTGAGTTTTCCCCTGAAGGTAGCAGTCAGGAGGAAGCCTAGCTGGCCATCCTGGGTTCAGAGGAAGGGCAAGCAGGACCCGCTAGAGAATGGGGATCGGAGCAGGGTGTTTGAAATGCAGATACTGGACCGCACCTGGGAGATTGTGGAAGATTTGTCAGGCAGAGGGGGC